CTTACCAGCACGCTGGTACCATTTGGTCAACTACATGTACACAGGTAGTCTGCTCACTAATTACACCCTTGAATGCTTATGTGCCATTTCCCTGCAAAATCTATGCTGTCTTCTACTCTTTTACAGGGTTAACCTCACAATGCTGAAGCAGGAGGCTGAATGGTTGAGGTGTCTGCACGACCAAACAAGATGTCATGGGTTCGATTCCCTTCCAAACAACAAAAGCACCAAGTACAAATACAATCCTACACATGGGCAATATCAGGCCAACTGCAATGCATTCGCAAATGCTTGAAATAAATCCGATGTACTACTCACACCAGAACACACGACTGGTCAGACTTCTTTTCTGTAGGGAAACTTCCTTGAATTTTCAAGAAAAGCCAACGAGCAAACCCGGCAGATTTCCCCTTATATTTTCCCACATAAGATTGTCCGTACTGTATGGTTTCCTGACTTAGCTTTCCAATCCCAAATGTACACACTTTGCCATTCCCAAGAACACAGATCAAGGAACCTGATTGGCTGAAAGTTGTCAACTTCAATTCGTCCACTATCCCATGGCATCAACCTCTTTCCCTGTTTTCCCACTAAAACTGCACTAACACCAACCTCATCCCCGGCTTGCAATCAAATTAATTTTGTCACATTTCAACACTGAAACCTAAGTTTTCCCCATTACCCCACAAACACCTAGAGGAAATTTGTGTCAAGCTTCCCACTTTTGAATATTTCCACTCCTGTGCTCGATGTACAAAAACCAGAACTAGAAATTACTAGTTTTGAAGGAAGTGTACACACATAGTGCCTGCCAGTTTGCAGCAACAAAAATTAATTTCATGTACACGTATGATCCGTAATTCATAAAGTGTCATTCTTGCTTCACTCTCAGGTATGTGGCGTCTCCTGCACTAAGACGTGCAACCACTTGGTAGACTCAGGGGAGCCTGCTCATAATTCACGAGAAAGAGGTTGATGTTAACTGTCTTCAGGAAAGCCTGCCTTAAAAATAATTTCATTCCCAATTTTTCCTCTTCTGAAGTCCTACTCAATCATTAAAAGCTCAACCATGTCATCATCATATAAAAACAACCAGTAATCTGCATAATTCAATTAATTAAACTTGGGTTTTAATTAGTTTGCAAAAATATACAAGTTTTTGTCATTACATTAACAGTACAACATTATATAATACACGTTCCCGTATTTTCTCCAAAACTATTGGAAGAATTGTCTCTATGGCAATTTGCTCATAAGCAACACCAGAAGTAATAAATATTGTTACTCTCTCAGCAACTCAAGTGCAAGTTAAAATTTACATGCGTACATCAACTGCGTTCCTAAGTAACTGAGTTGCTTTTCAGTTAAATTCCTTCAAAATTAAAGTCATGTTATTTTCAAATAAGGTGCACAATCTGCAACCAACAGTACAAATATCTGATATTTCAAAAATATATCTGTTTTTTGCGAGGATGATTCGTGGCTATCGTGTTAATTGGCAGGTGAGTCTACAATGTACATTTGTGGGTCACACCAAAAGGTCATACTGAGGTCAACCCCAGGTCACTTGGCTTGCTGCCAAACTGCTTTTCAGTGCTTGCATTGTTGTGTAGGTTTGACCGATGCAATGAAAAGAACAGAAGACATGTAAGTTTAACGACGCAGAAAATCCTGATGATGTTGAATAGACAAAAATGAACTCCCATGATGAAGTCTTTATCTGTAGAGAATCGTTATGTCTGGTATACCCTTAAAAGGAAAAAGGTAAATGTACCTCTCTCCCATTTAGGGGTAGGGTTGGGGTTGCACTTTGGGGTGGTGCAATTCCCAAAATCTCGGCCATCTTACAGCAGATATGTATTAAATTTGGAGCCAGCAGGTCAAATGAGTTGTCATCATTGTAAATGTAACACACACATGTAAGCTCAGAAACTAGCAAAAAACAACAGAGCAGGATGTAACAATCTCTGCAACAATCTTGCCAATGTATCAAACTTATTAACCCTAACTCCCTAGGGTGTGTGCAAAATCATATTAAATTAGAGGATTCAGGACTGTTAGGGTTAAGGATGGCACATATAGCAAACAATATACATGTACCATCAAAACTTGCAAGGTAGTGATACCCGCTCCTGTATGGAAAATGATGAGATTCTACAAGCCCTCCCCCCCCTGCTCTTGTTGGGTAAGTTGGACTTCTTGATCAATATTTGACTTCTTATTCAGAGCGTGGCAATAGTTGGTCTTCAGAATGAGAGAATAAAATTGCATAATTCATGTGCTCATCTGAAGGCTAGCATCCAAGCTGAGTTCCTACCAGGATGTGACTTTATTATCCACCAGATTCGGAGCCCGAAAGTCGGGGGGTTATAGGAGTTGGCAACATTTTAGATAATGCCTTCGTGTACCCATATAATGAGGGGATTGTCCAAACTGTTGCCAAAACTCAGTATAACAAACCAAACATACAATGCACAATTGTGTTTTTTTTCTTCATTTCAATTCAGAGAACAGAACTTTCAGATTCACCGCCGAATCAATTCAGTGTCATGCATGCCACTATCTGGCAACAATAAAATCATCAACTTTGTCAACGTGGCCATTAACATGGTGGCCAATCTTGATGTCTTGATCACTACATCTGCTTTTCTGATGGGACGCCAACTCATCTTGGATGAATTTGAATGTATCATCACATGATACATGTATCGTCACATGATACATGTATCGTCACATGATACATGTATCGTCACATGATATATGTATACCAGACATTCGTTTTCTTCAGTATGTCTCTGTTCATACGAGCCCAAACACAAGTGTTATTGCCAATGGATACAGTGTCCCTACTCAAATTAACATCAACTACGGTTGCTGCGCTGTACGCTACAAAATTGGTACCTGTGGTGTCACACACTCGGTGCTGTATGAAAAGCCTAACAATACAAAATTCTTCAAATACATCGACTTGCTAATAAAACGTCTCAATTCAACAGGTGGTACGCTAAAATATACATCACTTTAGAGGATGTTTGTATCACAACACACAATAAGCCATTTTGAGGATCAGGACGGTGGTCAAATGTGTGCTTGGAAAAATAAGGTCTGAGGTCAAGTGTGCAGGTCTCCACTCCAGCCTCTGACCTCTTCAAATATCTGACCTTTGACCTCTGACAGAGTGGGCAAGGTTGACTAGCTTACACACAGAGCATCCCTGAGCTAGGGATGGCTGTTCATGTATGCTCAGTGACAAACAAGCACGACAGTGGGGATGAGGTTAAACCCGAGTCAACTCATGGAAGTTAATCAAACGCACCCAGTGAGATGCTAGCTGGGAATTGTGGCAATGCATGACAGGAAAGTCTGCCTTGGGGTGAAATCTGTTAACTACGGCAACAATCGTTCCTCAAAAGTGACTGGAGTAGACAACAAACCTGTCCTCAACCTCCAACTTGTAAAGGTCCAATGCTTCACTTACATGTAGATAGGGTGCAAACTATACTGGTACGTCCGTGTGCATGCTACTTCCTAGGCCCAGACAAAAATTGCTTCACTTCATGGAAATGCCAAAGTCTGTCTTGAATCTTAAATATAAAATGTTTCAGGCTTGTTGGCAATCTTGTTGGTACTTGATGTCACATGTATAACAAATTTTGGTAATATTATCACTTGTTAAACAGAACTGTGTCAATACTATGGGCAAGGATAAACTCAGTGTTTGATGCAATGTGGTACTCATGTGTACATGCCTCTGACAGTTTTGTTTCTCTGTTGAACAAAAGACATGTGGGTATTATTTTAAGTTTCAAATCTACCGGTACCAAAAACACAAGACATATTTCATAGTCATTGGTGCTGAAATGGTGCTGCTGTATGATCACCAGGACTTTTACCGTCCCTTTTGTTTTCAAATCTAAATCAAACAAATCCAATCTGGCAAATTCTTCCAAACCTCTGTGACAAACGCGGTCACTGTGATATAGACTAATCCCAGGAAACGCCACGGCTACATGTACAGTGGGACTGCACCTGACGTTCATGCGTGTATTTAGCAAATCGAGGTCGACATGGCACATGGCGTGCGCATACTACGTACCATCCGTCCAGAAGCGTAATGCCACGCCCGTATTGGCTTCTATGTCTGTACATAATAGAATACTCTCTATGACAGCGATGGTCCAACCAACACTGTCTGTGGTGCCCTCAAGTTGCCACAATTACAAAATAGACTGTTCCCTGTATATAATTATGTCTTACAGTTACACATCCACCAACGCCAATCACATTTCTCGTCATGCATGTCCAACGTGGGACTGTGCCAATACTTGCTCCGTAGCTGTGAGGACATAAATGTACTCGTTATTACACTGATTTTCTGGGGGCCAAAATCATTACCTGCACAGAGAAACGTCCCCAAAATTCAGTCCTACGTGGTAATTTGCCTAACAATAAAAACTTTGCCTTAACAAGGTGAGGGCCTACCCATAGATGTACATGTTCTGTGCACATGCCTATCAATACTCGATGACTTACACCTACATGTATCTCCCGTTTAATGTTGAGTACACTATACATGTATATTAACTGTTCTGGTGAATGACCTTAAACATAAACAGACTGACAGTCACCCAAGGAACTAACAGTAACATTGATGATGACTGTGATATAGGCATTCTTAAGACATGAATGTGCTTAACAAAGCCCCATTCTATACACACTTCGTTGTTTACGCATTACACAGTGCTGTCCTAGAGTTACGGTAACTTTAGCACTGCAGGGCAAAAACGGGTGTAAGTACGAGTACTCTTCTCTCTAAAAACTCAACTACATGTAGGTGGCCGATGGTGGATGTAACTCACAAAAACTCACCGAGGGGGAGAAAGCGGTGGTTGCCACGCACTTTTCAATAGAGTACCGAAGTGAATACATCACGTGCACAATTAGTGTGTAAAAGGCATGAGCGCGTGAACCAACACGTGCGCATACTCCATTCATTTGCACTGCACTTTCTGGTTCACAGTGACGTCACACTTTGGTACTCTAAAACTTTAATTTTGACCAAAACAAAAGCACACACAATGAAATGCTGAATACAATGCTGCTAACTTGCACAGTATGGACACTCCTGGCACAAGGTCTGAATGAGTCACTGAGTGAGTTGTGGTCACTCCTACTCATTAATCAGGAAATAACTCAGGTGCACTATCTTCTGGTCTAGGACTGTTTCTTTCTTGAGTCAGCAAACTGCAACTGAACAGTGATAAGCCTTTGACGAATACACATCTGCATCAAAACTTGTCAAAGCCTTTCTGCATTTTTTACTGTTTTTTTTCCCCATTCCTTAGTACAAAAGATTTCAACAATCCATCAGTGACAATCTCATAAAACTGATGCACAGTCTGCTTACAATATGTCATTTGTTGAGAGATTCAGGCAGGTTATTTTCATTGAAAGTTTTGGCAAGCGTCAATTGTTGCGAGAAGCTAGCATGGTGTGTACGAGAAACCTGACTGGCTTGTGGGGCCCTCAGAAGTGTCCATACACTCAAATTGAGAGTTGTCAAAGCTGTGATGGGTCACGGGCAGGCCAAAGTGGAGTTTGGAGGCATCCCTGTTGCTATGGTGACTGGATTCCTGGGAGAAAGTTCCCGGCGGTGTGACGCTGCGGATTGGCTCCTCCTTCATGGAGAACTGCGGAAGCACAGGGTGCTGCTGCGCCTGCTTGTAGGAGTCGGCGCGGTTCGGGGGAGGCGGCCGACCGTCAAAGCTCGGCTGGCGCTCCAGGTGCAGCTGCTGAAACTGCTGGCTGAGCTGGGACTGCTTGTGCAGCTGCTGCCGCTTCTGCATCAGCCGCTGCTGCATGAGGTGGTGCTGCAGGCTGCGGGCTGGCGTCACTCCCCGGGACAGCTCATCAAAACTGCAGCCGGTGCCCTGCGCCGGCTCCGTGTGCATGGTGTGTTTCATGGCCTGGAAGTGGTTCTGCCGCTGGTTCTGCTGCACCTGGGCGGGGAACCGGCGCCACGTGACTGGCTGCTGCCCGACCTGGCACTGCGAGTATGAGCCGCTGTCAGTGGACTGCACCGAGTCCATGTGCTGCAAGAGGCGGCCGTGGTGCTGCTGCATTTGCTGCTGTTTGGCATGCTCGGCGATAATCTTGCAGTCTGTGAATTCGCCTCCTTGTTGCTGATCCAACCGGGCATGGAGCTCACTAATGCCCTGGGTGCGAGGCAAATTCTTGTGCTGGGGGTTGAAGGAGTCCTGCAGGAGAAGACCGTCCGAGGCGCGACGGCCTTCCCTGAAGCTCGTTGGGGACTGACTGCCAGTTCGCAATAACGTCTCCGTTATTCCTTGCCCCACTGGCGGGCCCCCAATCATGTGCTGCTCTTGCACTGTCGGGGACAAGTCGGGTGAATTGCGCTGGCTCCCTGAGCCCAGCTGGAACATCCCTTGCCCCAAGCCCTGAACAAAACCCTGTGAGATCTGGGCAATCTCCATCTCTTCCTGAGAATCAAATGAAGCCGACAGGTCCTGCGGCTCGATGCCAAAGTCCGACAGCGTGGGCTCCATGCTGGGCGTCACCTCAAACGTCTCTCCTAAGGTGTGGCGACGCTGGGCCATCAGCTGCTCCGTGGGTGTTTTGTCCATTTCACCCTCGCTCTCGGGCATGTCCACCTCCACTCCCTCATCGATGGACGTCACCACCATGTGGTTGGGCGACATGGAGCGGACCTTGCGGAAGTTCATCCGGGGCAGCGGCTCTAAGAGAGTGCCGCTGACCACTTGCGGGACGCTGACCACGTCTCCCTCGCTGAAGATGCAGGTGGGCTGCTGCAGGATGGGCTCTTTGCGTTTCCGCTGCAGCGCGGCATGGGCGGCTTCGGGTTTGACTCCGGCAGGCTGCGACGCCGGTTGGACAGGCCGGAAGCCCATAATTGGTTGCTGTTGCTGTGTCGGGTGGCTTCCGAGTGAGTGCTGCTTGATTGGGCTCCGGCTCTGCTGCGAACCGGGGACGACATGGGGTATGTGGGTCCCCGTGCCAATGACCTGAGTCCGGAGAATGGCATGGTCAGAAATAGAACTGGGTCTACGTGACCGACTGTCCACTCGTCCCTCGACGGGAAAGCTGCAGCGATGAAGTTTAAGTCTTTCAACTAGGAGGTAGTAAATAGCTGTGTAGTGATCATAGGCATCTCTCCGCAATGACTACAATAAAACATGTCCAGGGCAGAAAATAAACATAGATAGTTTTGTGCCAAACAGAATAAGACATTTAATGGATAATGGGGGTTAGATAAAACCTAATTGATGACCAAAACACAAGGCTGACTTATTTCTCACACACACAACTGCTGCAAGGTCTCTTACTACTTCTATTTTTGACTTGGGCCTTGGAAAGTGTCACTTTTTCACCAGATCTTGGGCTTATAGCTGTGTATTTCACTGCCTGCTGCAGCCAAAATAAAGGCCTCTTCATGGTTGGCTCAAAATTGAGAACAAAAGTGATGTTTATGATGTCAGCTCTACAATTAAACCTTTCATAGCGGGAGCCGTCCACAGCCGCGGCTTTGAGTGAGGATTAGTGTATACCACACATACAGTCTATTCACCATGCAGCTGCTGGTTCAATGGGGCCTGCTGCTGGACAGAGCTTTGTATGCTGGGCCTCCCGACGTGAAGGGGTTAATGGTGCATTTTCAAAAACAGAAAAACCCCACATATACTTCAACTCAGGAAATTTTCACTGCACAGCGTTTCATGACTTTCAAATTTGCTTTGCTGTGCATTCGCCCAAGGTACGGATGGCCTTTATGCGGATACACGGCAACCTCTATTGCTCATGCACACCTCTAATGTCTGTGTGCACATGCAGGTCCATTGCACTCACCTCTATCGTCCGCTGCTGGTCAATGCCCAGGCTTTGCATAAGACGCAGGGCCTGCTCGTTGAACTCCCCGACGGGCTTGGGGATGTCGGAGACTGGGCTGGTGACTGGGGAGGGCTCCCCTCCTTCCATTTGCATCCACTTGTGGTTCTTGATCTGCTCGATGGTGTAGCGTTTAGCCGGGTCGATGACCAGCATCTTACGGATCAGCTGCTCGCACTCTGGAATTTAATCATTATGACGCAAGCCAATCTGATTCATTAGGCCTGCTGCTTTTCTGTCCGGTGTCCTGGTACCAGTGCACTGTATTTCTAACCAATATTTCCCCAGCACAGTTTTTAAAGGCAATAACTCTGGACAGAGATGTGGGTAACTTGGGTTACCGGGGGACACAACACACGGATCCCAGCCCTGACCCTTCATGACACATTCATGGCTGTAATGCTCCTGATCATTGCACGTTTCTTGATAACCAATTTATATACAATACTGCATGTGCGGTGTACCGGTCATGCCTATATTGTAGATGTGTCCATTTATACACATACTCCTGAGAGATGGAGTGAGGATTTTGTACACATGTGTACCGTTGAAATGGCTAGTAATTAGCCTGCTGAGCAACATGAAAAGGCCACGTGAGTGAGACAAGCCAGATACTCATTACTCATGTTGGTTATTGAGAGTAAAAGGGAGAAAATTATCCCTTTCCGCTCTTAGAAGTGTGCAAACTTGGAGCCAAGTAAAATATTAAACTTTATCCCCAAAAGCCGAATAATGCAGGTCACAATTTTAGAACCGGAATTGCACATGCGGGATGTACGTGCACTTGTAGTCTGCTGAGGACAAATAAATACAAGTCTTTTGCAATTGAAAGTTCTGTTAATGGGAATGCGAGATTATGCCAAAGGAATTTGTGTTCACATTCATATTAGAATTTCACCAGGTTTGAAAAATATTTTCCAACCAGTGTAAAAAGGAGTGACAATAGTTTCCTACTAGTGTGAAAAGGTGTAAAATGCTTTCCAAATTTGTGAAACGAGATTAAAATGTTTTCCCATTTGTGTGATAGGGCGTGAAAATATTTTTCCATTCGAAAGACAGGGTGTGAAAATGTTTTTCCACTTATGTGAAAAAGTTTGTCCAGTATGGGAAATTATTTTCACATATTGTGAGACAAAAATGAATTCCCTTAGGGAAGTAACAAGTGTGGAAAGAATTTCCATTCTCGGCCTATCTCTCAATTGCAATGTGCATATAAACGTACTCTGTACACAACAACTTTAGGCTTATTTTCTGACCTGTTGACATGAAGAATGGTATCCTGAATCTTCCGGCCAGGACTCTCTCCTTCAACTGGGGCAGTGTGTTGGCATCAAAGGGTAGGGCTCCGCACACGAGCACATAAAGCACAACACCCAGACTCTGCAGCAGTGTGGAAGATAGGAGATGGAAACCAGGGACACGTTCAAAACTTTGTTGCTGACTTCAAGCCTTAGACCCAATTCTGTCTCTCCTAGAGCTCTCATTGTGAAAAGAAGATCGAAGCACAATTGTGACCCAAGTTAACCAAATGAGTCTCAGGCCCCTAGAGCAACTTCTGAAGGCCTTGAAAAGAATCCTGGACTATAAAATTCAGTAGGAATTACCCTTAGTATTTGTCATCCACATGATGCCATTTGCATCATGATGCAAAACTGAGTGGTACAGATGTACGTGAAAACAACACTCAGTTTGAGCTCTTTCCATTGCAAACTGAACCTATACGCCTCATTTTGTGGGATTCGGTCGCAATTGAGCAAACGTTTCACATCCAGCTCATTGTACATGTAATTTTACAGTGTCTGATTTTGCCCAAACATAATCATGTACAATTACATTGTGTAATCTTACACTGCATTCCCGGTACCAGCACCATGTACATTTACATTGTATGTAGTCATACAATGAAACCGTATACAGTCTGCATAATGTGTACGGTACAGTCGGAGTACCACTTCATTGAACACAACAAAATCTTGGCCACTATGTGTACACATGAACCAGTAGTAGGACTTACAATGTACTGGTCAAGGGTAAATTTGAAATCAACTACCATATACAGGTAAGCACATGCTACTGTCCCTTTGTATAACGAAAATTGAAACGTCACCTGGTCACTGTGACGCATATGTGTACCGGCACATGTACATGTACGTGTGCATCATATTCCCTGCCTCAATTTCTATACATGTACAACAAATACATGCAGGTCAATAGTACCAATTCTTATTTGTTCTAGTACAGCTGTTAAGAGTTGTCACAACATCTACAGTTTCTATATCCCTGAGATTTACTCATTTGTCTACCCCCCCACCACCAAGCAAGGACGGTTCGAATTCCCCTCCCCTTCCAAAGTGGTGGTGGCTAATTGTTGCATCACGGTGTACAGCCAAGATACAGTGCAATGTACAGTGTACGGATAAATGAAACAGCCTGGGAGATGCATAATGCATCTCCCTGGTGCTCTAACTGAGAAACTATAATGTTCCTATGGATCCATCACGTTGTTGTGTTTCTGTGTATTAAAGATCTCGCTTGGCCGAGGGATTGCGGGAAAGGGTTAAATGTCGCCTGGCTGGTATTTAGGTTAACTATACTGCAGTCACAGCGTAGTGCACGAGGCGCTGGCCGCAGCGGATTGCCGGTCAACGACAATAAATAAGCGGCAACGGATGAGATGTCAGAGAGGACAGCATGGGTCGTTTGTAACGAGACTAAAGCGGCAGACATTCTGCTGCATGGAAGGCATGGAATCCCTTTCTGATTACTGGGCCGCTAAGTAGCATCAACAACTGAGGATAATAAAAACGACGCTGCTCATTACAAGAAGTCTGATGATATCTTGACAGCTGCCTCACTGTTTGCTCGCTGCAGCTAGCTTTTAGAAGAACTGCCAGCAACATTTTCTTTTATCAAAATTTCTTTACTTCTTCCGTAAAATTACATTTAAACAGCGATCTTTTACAGTATCCTTGTCTCCATAGGGTCTCATGCAGTCACATTCATCCTTTAATTATTCCAGCGGGGAAAAAAATCAGTTAACTTCAAGTGCTACATAACAACGTGCACTGGCTGCACTCACTCTGTAACTAAATGAGTCGCAAGTCACCAGAGCCACTTTTGAGTTTTACTTAGTATTTATAGATTGAGGAATTTTGGAGCTCTTTTTTTTGATGTGCCACTCAGTTTGGTATGATGGACGTTGTGTAGAAGTAGATTTTAAAATGTTGAGGGTTCCTATATATTGCTAAAAGGCCTTTATTGGCTGAGGTGACATGTGACTCTTGCAGAGCGGATTGTACTTCATCCCTGGCTAACCAAAATGCAATGTATTAATTGTACATGTACATGTATGTACCAGGGTAATAGATGATGATGTCACTCTTTGTTGCGTGCTGTGCTACGAGAGCTTGATGGATTGCATTCCATGGGAAAGTGCACATACCGGTATGTGTATAAAGCGTGACGTCAAAGGTCTACATGACATTCATGTACATGTACAACGTAGCCCATACTGCCAAGACTGCAGTGTACCTGGTCTACAGTCCATAAGTCAACTGAAATAAAGCAGAGATGTGTGGTCATATTTCTCTGCAGATGTTCTTTTTTACCTGACTCATGAAAAATACGCGGAAAACTAAGTAAATCTGGCAATAGTGCTTATGGTAATTGCAATAATCCATTTGTTGAATATTTAGTGTGCCGCAAGTGCTGGTTTTCACCACTGTGAAATGGTGTGTAAAGTCACTTCCAAAAAACTAGTTTTTTGAAGTGTTTTTGCACGGGTGGGAAATGATGTCAGCAATATTTCTCACATTGTTTCAAATCCTGGGAAATGAAAATGAATTTCCCCCAAAAAAGCAAAGGGGGAAAAGAATTCATCTTAACACCACTTCATGTACAGTCTCTGAGTGCAGCGATGGTCATGTACTGTACATGTGTAGTGTATTAAATACAAAAACTACTCAGTTGAGACTGAGTAGTTTTCGAGTACCGGTGTTTTCCCTTCAAAACTTAATTTTCACCAAACTGGAAATGTACGGTACATGTACGTCTGAAATCTTCAATCTATTTTCTAATGTTACCTCTGTGCTTTTACCATCCAAAGCCCATGTTGTCCAACTTTGTTCGCTCCTATAAACCATTAGATTTCAACGCACGTACATGTACGCAATTAAAAAAATTGGAAAGCTGACAGATACATGTACTAGTGTCTGTAGCTTTGGAAAGAGTTACAATAAACCACTACATGTTGTGCTGTGACTTACGCAAACTTATTATTGCTCTTATTTTGTGGAATGGAATTTACCGGTGCATGTTCCTTGCAATGCAGGTATGTACCTCTGTCCGTGTACTTGTACAAGTGTGCACTGAGCATGCTGGTTTAAATCATCAGCTGCATCACAAACTGACGTATTGTGGATAGTTGCCACACCACGAACTGACAAATCATGGATACGAGTAGTTGCCACACCACGAACTGACAAATTATGGATACGAGTAGTTGTCACACTACAAACTGACGTATCGTGTATGGTTGCCACACTACAAACTGACGGATCGTGTATGGCTGCCACACTACGAACTGACGGATCGTGTATGGTTGCCACACTACGAACTGACGGATCATGTATGGCTGCCACACTACGAACTGACGGATCGTGTATGGTTGCCACACTACGAACTGACGGATCGTGTATGGTTGCCACACTATGAACTGACGCATCATGTGTACAAACTCTATACGTATAGATGGTACAGTACATCACCTAATGGCGCACTAAAACTATCGCTACACACATCACTTTCTGGTGCGAGTTACATATTGCCATGGCAAACAAATGTACGAGTTAACTTCAGTTTAAAATCCCAAAGCAAGAAAAACTTGGTGATTACATCCGTATTGTCACTGAAAACGTGGAAATGGGACCGTCTTCTAAGAAAATTGTCAACATCGATCGTCAGAAACGTAGGCCTAATATAAAAATATAAAAAACATGTAAGGCAGTCCTTACATATGGTAAAGTAATGTACTGGTTCATGTACCATGGGAAGAAGAAACCCAGACCTCAATGAGACAATATGGAAGGGAAAATGTGCGGGTTGTTCTGGGCAGAACAGCCATTAACTTCCTGTGGTGGCTGGCAGGATGGTTACGGCTCAAAGAAATATGGCCAAGCTTAATTGATTTTTCTTGTCATTCGCTGTGCCGTTAGATGTTCAGTCAGTGCATGTACAATGTATGTGCACATGTTAAGGGGCACTTTCTTACGTACATGTAATGTGCAACCTCCAAACATGAAATGCACTTGTATACATATTTAATAGTTCCAAAACACTGCTTTACAGTGTAGCCAATCAAGATGTCTAGCTGGAAGCAGAGGTTGATTTCTTCAGATTTTGTACATGTATTTCAACATCAACTTAAAATGCATGTTGTGCCATGTACATGTATGTGCAAAATATGGTGCCTTGTGGAGACCCAGAGGAATGGGTTGAATAGGTCTCCACAACGAATTTCTAAAGGTGAATAGGTCTCCACAACGAATTTCTAAAGGTGAATAGGTCTCCACAAGGATTTCATGAAACTAATATTTGGAAATTGCTCAAAAAGGAGAAATTTTTAATATGTAAGAATCTGTTGTAAATTGAAGTGCTAAAGGGACATGCGTTCAAAATTTCAGTCCAAGAGAGTGATTCATGTTGAAATGGGAGCATTTTGAAAACATCGCTTCACACCCGACCGAATAAGTACTGGAGAACAAAGCCATGTCTCCACAAGGATACAAATTTCGGAATGTGTGTACATGTGTACATGTGTATCAAAAGTTCTCTTAGTTTTGTTTCAATTAGGCAATCGTGGATATCTGGATTGGAAATTTGGTCCTGTTGTTCATTTTTGGAACCTCCAACCGAAAGAGGTCAACCAAAGCAAGGAACTTTTCAGAGGGTTTTCATATCAAAATATAGTTTCCATTCCAGTCATTTTCAAAGCATTCAAAAGGACTTTTCCAAGGTCGTTACTGGTACATAGATCTACACTATACATGCACATATCAAAATATAGTTTCCATATCAAAATATAGTTTCCATTCCAGTCATTTTCAAAGCAGTCAAAAGGACCTTTCCAAGGTCGTTACTGGTACATAGATCTACACTATACATGCACAGTACAGGGTACATATTCACATACATGTACATGTACAGTGAATGCATTCCCCCTGTTTCTGATGATGAATCGCAAGAATTTTAGAGGATTTCACTTTTATGGGTATGGTGAAATATTTTTGCACTTAAAACGAGAGACATACTGGGTCATAATGCTTGAGACATTAGTCAGTTGATCAGTGCCATAGTCTGGTAAGCCTGAATCCCAATTACTG